CATTTGATCTTGAAGAAACAAACTCGGTTGTCACTCGTTTCATATAGGGTGACCTTGGCCAAGGGAATTCTAATATCAAATTAGGTTGAAAATTGTTTAAATTCACATTTAGCTGCATACGATGTGACCGTTTGATGCAAAAAGAGGAACCCATAATATTATTTGTAAACAGAACATCTAACATCGAACAAAAGTCCCCATTATATTATCATTTATTTTTTTATATTTTTTAATTCTCTAGAAAACATGATGGGTGTTTTACATTATAACCTTACCTTGAAGAGGGATTTAAAGCATTCCTAATGCTGGGTTCCAGGAGGAACCAAGTCTTGTGTTACTAAGAAAATCTCCCAGTACTCACCGAAGGAGTTTACAGAGAGTGCAATACTCCTAAAGTAGAAACGCCCGTAAATCAGTCATACATTTTTAACCAATAAATCAAACAATTAGACTGACCATCATTGTGAGATGAACCTCTAACCTTCAATGTCTGCCTTACCTGTTACCAACACAGAGACCTAAATCTAGGGTTGGTATTTGAGATCATTGATATTCCAACACAACTTCACCTGACCTTCATCAAAATTTAGGACACGATAGGGAAGGGATGTCTGCTGCTCTGTATTCATATATAATATACGTTTAAATTTCTATTATACCCATTTGTTTGTGTTTGTGAATTCTGAAAATAAAATTAAATGTATTAATATGCAACGTTGCCCTGAGCTTTCTCTTGCAAATGAATGGCTCCGTCTAGGCTCCCTGTCAATCATTTCTGTCACTGAGTAAAGTATGTGGAGGTGAAAGAACAGAAACAATGTTTATATGTCTCCGAAAAGAATACAATATATGCCCTGGCTATGCCAGCATTGGCCTGGATTGTGATGCCAGCGGATACATCTTTATACAATAACAAGCCAGGATGTTCACCAAATCTACTGCAAATGTTACTATGCCTTTATTTACAAAACAATAAGATAATAAGACATACAAAATACATAGTAAGAAGGCTAGAATGTACATATACATATATCACAATATTAACATCAATAGCCTACCCGAGCAGGACACAAGACAAAAAAACAACAACAACGTTTCACACAAAAAGATGCCTTTCTCTATGGAAACCTGTTTGCTATTGTTTTTGACACCTAGGGAAACATCAACTTAGGTTTGCACTTTAATTGTATGATTTAATTACATCGAGTGTACCTTCCTATGCAAATTGTTGTTGAAAAGCTGTTGCATATTAGGACAGATAATAGATGATTTTCAATATATATTTTTTTTTTTTAAGTTGGTATGATGGTTGAGCAGGTATGCTGGAGAGCATTCAAAGACAAATTCCATATGGCATTAAGCAGTTACATATATCACTGATATTGTAATACGCCTTTACTTATATATCATATATTACATGATGTGAAAAAGTATAAGTATTATTACATCAATTAAAAAATATATATATACAGAAAGAGAGAGATAAAGAGAGAGAAAGGAAATGGATAACTGTTTGTTATGAGAAAATAATTCTATTGATGGGTTCTGGGAACATCAAACAAATTATCACCAAACCCTGAGATGGTGTTACATGTACATGCTATGGATTTTTTTATATTCCATAATAAAGTTAGGCTAGTGTTCATGTTAACTTAGTGTAGGGATTAATGTGCTGCCTGAGATTAGTGGAAGTTACAGCCCTGAGCGGTATCTCATTGAGTTGCAATCATTAATATGGCGAGTGGTACCGCTTTGAAATTTAACTTCCACTGATAGCAGGCAGTCAATGACATGTGTGTTCTCGTCTGCATGAGATTAGGGCCCCAGAGTGCATGGAGGTGATTCATTCACTATTACCCGTTCATTACGGAAAATAATTGCCCGGATGATGTCACTATCTGTACAGTGAAAGACTTAAAAATAGTAGACAGATCACGCACATCACACCAATCATAAAATACATATATACATGTGCACATGCATAAATTCACTTTACATTCTTTACATCCACGTAAGAAAATAAGTGTTTTTATTCCATAATTGTATGCTACCAAACATCATATACTGTTTTTTTATATTTTTTTAGACACCAGTTAGTATATTTCGAGAACTCCTGCTCGAGCTAAAGGCAAGATGTTCATGCAGAAGACGACAATTCTTGTGAGCATTAAGAGTCACGCTGTTTATTTTTAGCTATACATTCAACTATTATCAACCTCCAGAGATTACTGTGCATGTACATCACAGCTGTAAATACTACAGAGTGCCATTTACAATTCCATTCACTGAGCTCTCGTTGTCATAGGAAAAAAAAAAAATCACCTTCAGCAATATTGTCATCATTTAACTCCTTCATGACAAGCAGAGAGGGAAATTGATTTTTGTGTGTGTGTGTGTGTGTGTGTGACTGCTGTAAAAAAAATGATCTGTCAAGAGTGTTTTTAAAAAAACGAAAATACATAAAAATGCTTTTGTTGCAGAATATATTTAACAATATAACAACAAACAGCAAAAAAGGATGAAAACCAATGTAACTTATATAATGTTACTTTATAGCACCATTATATGTACAAAATAGATCTTTTGTCTTGAGTTAATGTGTTGTTTATCACAGATTTCAGACTTGTTTTTTATTTTTTTTATTTTAACAAAAAGCACTTGGTAATGAACGAGTTAATAGTAGTCGTTTTAAGGACCCTAAAATGATCAGTTGTTATCGTCTAATTTTATTATTTGTACTACTGAAACATCTGGAGTAGGCAAGACATCCATTATAATTACAAGAAATCAGTCGGTATTTTTTATTTAGCACTGCGATTATTCAAGTGGACAAAGTCTTAATCAAGTGCATTGAATATGTTGTGTCAAAGGTTACCTTAAGGAATTGCAAACATGTGTAGATCTGGTTTTACTCATCAAAATGTATTGCTTTTTATTTCTTAAAGGGAGATTGCACTCAAACATTTTAAGCATAATTACCTTTATGAATTATTATATATTTAGTTTCTCCAGCAAGCCTTTTGTGTATGTTGCAATCCCAGCTGTCTGTTTCACAAAATGAAAATCAGAAAAATATGTTTACGGAAGGCAGCCATCTTAGTTTTCTGAGTTTTCTACAACAGCTGGTTTCATTGGATTTGGCCGGGTTAGGGATGATCAATCTTTCTCTTAGTTTAATAACATACCTATGTACAAGGGTGAACCTCAACACTTTAAATGACCTCTCAGTCAATACCTGCATTTATTATTTTAAAATTACATCTTGCCGCGTATGTGAGAGAATACACTAAAATGGGAATTTTTCAGAACTGACAAAGGACTTTGTATTTTAGGCTATACCAACCGAGCTGTGACAATAGATTTGTTACAGATTTGTTTCCAATTTGGCTATTTTAGCCCAAATATTTCTGCATATTAACTTCAAATGGCCTAATTTATGGCTTAACTTTTGCCATTAAAAATAAAAACGATTGCAAATTGTATGTTAACCTTTTCACTTACGCTACTGAAGACGTCGCTGTTCCTACTAACACTGCAGCAAAGAGCATAATTGTAGTATACATAGTAACAGTATACAATTAATTAAAAGTAATAAAGCTTTGCATTTTTGATGATAACTAAATTACCGTTATTATACACAATGGCTGTCTTTAAATCCCTAGCAACCGTTTGCAAAATGAAATAAGCAAAGTGTAAATGTTTATTAGGAAATATAAGATGAATAAAGATAGCTGTTTGTTCTTGGTCAAAGCGGGATTTTCCCAAGTGTCCATCTCATTGTTCTCCTGCTTTCTTGGTTCTTATACATCTTCATTGTTTATGTGGGTTTCTGCCATCTGGGTCTTCGTTACTTGGTGTATTCATGTTTAGTGTATTGAGAGTGACTGCTCACTCACAGGAGTGACCTCTGAGCGTTTGATGTGGCTCGGGGCAAGAGATCTTAGGTTAAAGTTTGGGGCAATGGTCTGGTGTCCGGATGGTGGTTTAAATGTTCTTGCTTGTACGGGAATGTTTAAAACAAAACTACGGCCAATGGCCTTGTCCAAATTCCTGTATTAGTGCACTGTTTGGGTGGGAAGACTGAAAATGGACACAGTTAAGAAATAAAAAAATACTTTTTTTTTGGTAACGTTGCATTGTCTGTGTCAGCTGTAGAATGAGAATTAGAGAGAAGAAAGGAGAAGTCAAACAAAGGTATTGATAAATTAATTATATCGATCCACAGGCCAAGGAACTAACCTCTGACAAGGAGAAATTATCCCTGACTTTATTTTATTTAAAAAGTATAAAAAAAGTAAGGAAGAAAACATTTCTCATAGGACTTTAAATATATAAAGACTGCTTTCCTCTTTGATTGCACCAAAGATTTATCAGCACTATTTGTTTCTGTTGAAACTTAATGATTAAATGTTTTTGAAGTCAGCATGTTTAGAAAGATATTTAGAGACAATAAAAATATATATTTTTTTTCGATTGCCTTTCATGGCAATGACGGCAGGATAAAGACGTTAGAGATAGGAAAATACTATTTTCAATAATTAAAGATATTAAATAATATTTTGGCATTTTCTGGCTGTTCCTAATCTACGTTACAGGCCTCTCCTCTCCACAATGATATAATGCTTTAATCCCCCCAAGCAGATATTTAGAATTGTTCTGCTCCCCATAGTGCCACATTCTCCATAACGTCACTTTGCCCCTCACATGTGTCATATTGCCCCCAGCACATTGCCCCATATGTTGACACATTTCCACAACATCCTATGCAGCAAAGAACCGTCAAACATGTAAGAGACTGTCATGGAGGGAATCAAAGTGAGTGCTTTTTTTTTTAATGTTTTTTGTTTTATGTAAGATAATAAAAATGTAACGCCATGTAGTTTGGTTTAATTTCTGAGGCCCTCTCAAACCCTATTAGCCCCCATTGTACTGTACAATGCTGCTTAGACAGCAAATCTTAATCTACAAAATGTCAGCAAATCAGATGAATGAAATGTCATTGCCACAAGCATTCTACAGTGAACAAAATTATAAACGCAACACTTTTGTTTTTGAACCCATTTTTCATGAGCTGAACTCAATGATCTACACCTGTAATATGCCACACCTGTGAGCTGAATGGATTATCTCGGCAAAGGAGAAGTGCTCACTAACACAGATTTAGACAGATTTGTGAACAATATTTGAGGGAAATAGGCCTTTTGTGTACATAGAAAAAAGTCTTAGATCTCTGAGTTCAGCTCATGAAAAATGGGGGCAAAAACAAAAGTGTTGCGTTTATAATTTTGTTCAGTGTATGTATGTGAGCACCTGTTCATTCCAATGAGGGAATGCTGTGATTCACGCAGGCTGGATCACAGATGAGAACGCACTCAGTAACCTCTGTATTTGCTGAAGCACCTAGCGAGCGTCCTGGCAGGTGTGACAGAAGGCAGGTAAAATCCCAAGGGATACCTGAAAAGTCACACATACAGAGATTACTTTCTACGTTATATTAATAATTATTAATATTGCTTTTTTTTATGGGGTGTTTTAACACATATGTAATTGAATTGTCTTTACATTCTGCATTGCAAAAATGAGGATAATCCACCCAGTAGTGTCCATATAATGTGTTTTTCTATCAAGACTGCTGGAGCACAGGTGTAATAGAGAAATAAACAAATATAATACAATAAAATAAAAGCATTCACCGGTATGAAGTGCCAGGCGAATTGAAACAGAAAATAATTCAACAGGGGTGAAGGGGGAATAAACATTTGTGATATTGTGATATTTTGCTGTATTTAAACGGACACTCAACACCATAACCACTGCTACTCATTGACTATGGTGCAAGGTCGCATTGGGCACCAGCCATGACAGTGATTGGCTGTGAGTGATGGGTGTATTATTTGGGGCAGGTTAGCCCAGTACTTTCAATGCAGTCTAGCATTGGTACTTAAGGTTGAATGGAGCTGGTTGAATGAATCTTCAGCGTTATCAGAGCAGCTGCAGAAGGTAGTCAGGAGAGCCCTACTCAAAATGTTTTTGACAGAATAAGCAGAATGGTGTCTATAGCACCATAATCAACGCAATGAGCTGCAGTGGTTATCAAGGAATAGAATTAAAGGGTTAAAGAATGAGTGCTTTAATTGGTAGGCACACTTGTGGTTTGTTAGTAACTATTTATACATAGCAGAAATACGCTGCATTTAGCATTTATAATATTTTGTTACTATTTGCTATTTTGAGCCATTGGTTTGAAAGATGATATACGTATGTTGTTATCGGTAAGAGCTGCAGATTCACACAGCACGGAACGCAGACCAGAATGCAATGACATATTGTGAGTTTGCAGGCTGCCACACTGACATTGCTGGCGAGCCAGACATCTGGCCTGCTCTCCAAAAACACCCCACAGCTCCGTGATATCTATTTGTTGCTACTCCTGGGTGCCGAAGCGGAGACATTGATTGCAGTTACTGTGACTTCATCCCTCTAGGGGGCCATCTCAAGAAATAATGACATGCGTCCTTGAGAAAACCTTTTCAACTGAATAAGTAATTGTCCAAATGAAATATTCTTGACATTGTAGCCTGAAAGTGTTTCGTTTCCAGTGGCAGGAATGGTGCACTCGGAAAGTAGGTCCTGGTGTCCACCCTTTCAGATCCTGATCCATTGCAAACAGGTACCAGTAGCTCTCAGTAATAGTAAACAGTCAAATCTAAACATTAAATGGATATATCAATGTGTTCTGACAAATACACCTCTAAGCATGTAACAAACTAATGTAGCACCCTTAGGGTTGTAGCGCAGCTGTATGTCGCTGTATTATCCTGATTGGCCAATCTTGAAGGAAGCTCTCTAGCTCCCCCTTGTTGGCAACCTGAGGATTTCTGGGATGATGACATCTGTGAGCTTTCCATTTTACTTTAGCCTTAACTTTGCCATTGGGATTTGAATTTGCTAAAGTTATAAGTTTAATGAATAACTTTGACACGTGTGAATTGTTGGAAATTTAAAGTGAATGAAATCTGAATTTAAAACTTTAAGGCTAAGTAGCGGAGTTGGCAAACGTTAACAACTGTGCTTTCTGCTGCGCTATTTTGATTGAAATTCACATTTAATTCACACTCTTAGCGGAATGGGGCAATGCTGCTAAACTAATATTCCAAGCTGATCACTCTCAGCCAATGAGCTAAGCCATAACCTGCTCTCAGCCAATGAGCTAAGGCCAGCTGAGTGCAGCTCTACAGCATTGGTAGTGGAAGCAGTGACTGATGCCCAGTGGAAAAGCGTTCTAAAAGCAGTTTGACTACTTTCAGTGGGGACTCCATAACAATCCTGGCACAAAACCACTACAGGGAGATGAAGTAGTTACGGTGTTTGGAATGTCCCTTTAAATTATCCAATTGGATTACAAACAATTGCCCTTTAAATATCCTCAATCTCTCACTGTGCCAGAGAAATGATACTCAGATACATTCATGCAACTGTTAAAATGTGACACATCGAATCTGCCCGTTTAGAGACAGAAAAACAAATGTTGTCAATGAAAAAACATTGTGTTTATATTGCTGTCATTTGATTTGTGTTGTTTTTTAAAAAGTGGCATGGGGGGGAGTTACAGTTCAAATATTTAATTTTTAGATAATGGATATACTGCAGTACTATATATTTATTATATATTTACTGTATATTTATTATACATTTATTATATATTTATTGCATGGGGTAAATATTCACTTTATTTTCTTGGCGGTGTACTAAGTTATGCACTAAAGTTAGACTTGTCAGAAATTCAAATGAAATTTAAAGTGAATTTCTAATTTAAGACCAAAATTTCCAAAATGGAAACAGACTTGATGTAGATATCTATGCTAATATTTATGTTTTGGACGATATTTTAAAATTCACTTTGAATTCCAGCCAGTGCTTACTTACTAGTCAATAAACCTGTGTGATTATTACTCCTATTCACTTGCTATGGTTTGAAGTGTATCTGCAATGCACCCTGCAAGCACTGACTAATCCCTGATTATTGGGGTACAGTGACATACCCCATAAATACCTTCGCTAATCCCCAGAACCTAAAGTAGAATGTGAACATAATTAATTATTTACAAATAAGAGCAAGAATAATACTCTAACTGCCCCTAATTACCCCATAACCCTAACAGATACATTATGCAGCACTCGTACAGCATTATGTATTGTCTTTATAGATTTTACAAACATGGAAAGTGAGAAGCCCCTGTAATATTATTGAATAGTGACCATCACAAGTAACACAATATGGTAGAGAACGTCTGGGAATGAAATGTACATGGATTTGATTTGTGATATATTTAAGCTCAAACAGAAAAAGAGGATAAATAAAAACATCTCTAATACAGACTCAGGAATGTCTGTTGTTCGCTGTCCAATTCCTACTCCTCGGTTTAATTCAAGAACCAGAGAACACGTGAGAGCTTTATCTGAAAATATCGCGGCTGATTCATTCCGACTAAAGTCATTTTTGTCAGCAAGTCTTTTAATAGCTCTTGAAAACAATCATCCTCAAAATACCTCAGACTTTGTGAGGAATTAAAGTCAGACGTACACCGGAGATTATTAAGATGACTTAGCAAGGCTCAGCGAGGGCCGCGTGAGGCTCACAGTGGGCTAAAGCAATGTGTGTAGCAGACTGGGTTAATACGTCAGTGACACCTGAAACAGATATTCGTTTATCCTCACTTCTTGTTTTAATTTGCCATGTAGATATTACATACACTTTTTATATGTCGACTTCTGAAAATCTCCCAGATCATCATGATTTCAAATCTGCCTCCCGACACATCAGATTCCAATGGAGAACATAGAGAATGCTTCATGGAATTTTGGGATGAAGGAATGACTCATTTGATTGGTGGGTGGCTGATTAGAAGCTATTCGACCAAACCCTAAATACATCATCATATTCATTACTGCTGTTCTATCTTACTGTCAATTATATCTGTTGCACCATATCACCATTATACCTGACCCAACATTAAAATATAGCAGTATAATGTTTTCAGTGGACCCAAGATCAAAAGACACGTGCTTTATATCACATTTTCTAAATCCGTCAAATACTAACCGTACTATACCCTGATTCTATCCAACCTATAGAAGCCACCAAGCTCACCCAAAGCTCTTACTTACATACCTCCCACCTTGTTGCTGCTATAGTACAAATCTGCCATTGGGTGAATTATGAAAATATCCTGGTATTTTGTGATGTTGTGTAGGTATCAATTGGCATGTGTCATCCTTGGATGTGTTCAGTATGATGGGAAGGTGTTGGTGCCAGTATAACAAAGTGCTGGGTAGATAAATGTGTTGTATACTTTCTATAGCTAACACAAAAATGCTTCACAGTGGACACAAAAGATGGAATTATTACCAAATAAAAGTGGTATTTTAATTTAAGACACAGGCTCACCAATGGACTAGGGTTTACCAGTATTCCCATTGGAGCACATTTGGCAAATGGCTAAATCCTGGCCTATTGGTGTATTTTGGTGATTGAATTCACAGTTCTAAGAACTCAGCTGTGAATTTTAGACTAGTACTCATAATAGATATTAAATGACATTACTATTCACACACAGGTCTGTTTCAATACAGTTCCATGGTACATGTTCGGATTTTGTTATTTACTGCTGTGTATGTTGATTCTAGATCTCTGTGTTTCTGACGTTTGATTTGTTTACTGAACCTGTCCTCCTAATACATTTACTGACAACCATGCTGGCAAATCCTTAATGAGCTTAAAGCAGAGGAAGGACAGACGGCTGCTATTTTGAGATGTCTTCCTGTTACAAAATAACGAAACATTTTTCCCTAAAGAATCCGAGTATTGCTATATTGTACTATAAGAGAAATTGCCCAAAAGACAGAAAAGGTTCTAGTCACTAAATTGGGAATTGAGTAGAAATGAGAAAATAATCACCAATTGTAGGCCAAAGAACTGGAATTAAATTATCTGAATTTTTTTTTCAGATTTAGATATTATGGCCTATATATACAATTCTCTTGTCAATTATCTACCACACCAGGTTTCAAGTAACTTTCTTTTCAGCTTTTCCTCAATCCATCCTTACTAAGCCTGTTCCACTGCTTTTAATGTGACATAGAGGCGCAGATCTCATTCTCCTGGTAAATAAAGAAGTTATTGTGATATCGCATGCTATTTGTTGTCTCGTGGCTATTTAAAATTCAGTAGACGTGTACATAGAGAAGGTTGCATGTAATGTGACATCCTGATTACCACCCAGTGTATATAAATCTATCACAGACCAAA